TGCAGCCGGAGCAACATTCTCTGCAGACGGGCAGGGGCTGTGTGGATGGGCTTCTTTAAGATAGTCACTAAAGGTTGGTGGTCAGTCTCCACCACTACAGGCTTTCCATACACATATTGTTCGAATTTTGAACAGGCAAACACGACAGCTAGCAGTTCTTTTTCAATTTGTGCATACCTTGTCTCTGTGTCAGTGAGAGTGCGTGATGCAAACGCTACTGGCTTGCCATCTTGCATGCACGCTGCTCCAAGTCCGTAGCATGACGCATCACAGGTGAGCGTGACTGGTCTTCTGACATCATAGTATGACAGGACAGGTGGACTTGATAAGCATGATCTAAGAAGGTCAAATGCATCCTGATGCTGCTGGAACCAACACCATGCAGTGTCCTTGTGGATGAGTTTTCTCAGTGGTGCTGCGATGTCGCTGAAGTTCGGGATGAACTTGCCGAGGTAGTTAACCATACCGAGGAAACGCTGTAGTGAGACAACGTCTGTGGGGACTGGCATGTTAGTGATTGCATCTGTCTTAGAAGGGTCTGCCTTTAGGCCTTCACTTGTGAAAATGTGACCTACATATCCTACATGATCCAGGCGAAACTTGCACTTGGCTGGATTCAGCTTTAGGTCGACTTCTCTCACTCGTTCCAGCACCTTCTTGAGGTTGGCATCATGCTCAGCAACTCCACGGCCACCAATGATGATGTCGTCAACGATGACAGAACATGGGTAACCTGCAAATAGCTGTTCCATCGAGCGTTGAAATACCTCACTAGCAGAGCTAATGCCGAAGGGCATCCTTAGGAATCTGTACCGCCCAAATGGAGTACTGAAGGTTGTCAACATGGAGGATTTCTTGTCGAGACGTATCTGCCAGAAGGAGCTTTTAGCATCTAGCACAGAAAACACTTTTGCTCCTGACATCTGTGCTGCAACTTCTTCTACTGTTCTTATAGGGTGATGTGGTCTTTTCAGCGCTGTGTTGAGGTCTTGTGGATTGATACACAGTCTTATTTCCTGCTTGTCTTTTTTGTGTGCTGCCACCATAGATGAGACCCAGTCTGTGGGCTCAGTAACTGGTATAATGACACCTATGTTTTGCATGCGGTTAAGTTCAGCTTTAACTCTGTCTTGCATTGCAATAGGAATGCGGTGGGCAGGTCTAACCACAGGTTGTACACTAGGATCAACTGTCATGGAGTAAGTGATTGGTAGTTCTCCAAGTTCATCATCAAACAGGTCTTTGTACTGCATGAGTGTCTGTGTGGTGAAATCCGTGTTGCTTTCCGTAGTGATCTGGTGGACATCTTTGCTCAATGTGACAATTCCCATGTCCACGCATGCCCGAAATCCCAGTAGTGGCTGCACATCTTTGTTCACTATGAAGAAAGGCAACGAATGGTGCTGCTCCTTTAAGCAGCAAGGCAGTGTGGCAAGGCCTTTGGTCTCAATCCTGCTTCCTCCATAAGCAACAAGGTTTATAGCAGTCTCTTGCTTCACAAGTTGCTCGCCATTGGTCACTTGTGTGAACGTTTCTTGAGACAACACATTGCATTTAGCTCCTGTGTCAACTTTCATTTCAGTTGGTATGCCATTAATGTGAATTGTAACAAATCCTTCTTCTTTGTCTTTAGCTTGAGGATTAACACTATCAATATGTCTTTCGATATCTACGCCATCCACGTAGAACGTGTCTTCTCTGTGTGTTGTGGGCTCTTCCACTGTTACTTCATGTACAGACTGGTTAAAATAATTTCTATTTGAATGACTGTTGCTGCGTGGTTTAGACTTGCAGCATTTTTTGTAGTGATTCACTTTTCCACAGTTATGGCACTTTTGCCCGAAAGCTGGACACTTTTCTCGCATAGCTGCATGGCTGCCTCCGCAATTATTACAGTTAGAGATGCTCTGGGAGTGAGCGAGTGACTGTGGCTTTGGCTGATATCTTCTGCTAGAAACAGGTCTCACTGCATTAACACTGGTAGCTTGAACGGCTAACGTCCTGCTGCTTTCCTCTGTCATTTCGTGTATACGGCAGACTGAAACAGCTTTAGCAAGTGCCAGTTCACTGTCTCTCAACAGAGTTTTTCTTAAAGAGTCATTGATTTTGCCACATACTATTCTGTCACAGATTAGTTCCTCAGCTTTATCTTCAGATAGCTGATGAATGACTCAATGCTCTCACCTTGCATCTGATTTCTTGAATGAAACTTGTGCCTTTCCATTATTTTGTTATGTTGAGGGTTGCATATTTCACGGAATTTCCGTATCAAACAGTCCGGGTCGTCCCTTGATTCAGCTGGGGAGATCACCGCACCGTCGGGGCCTGGCGCGCGCACTTCAGCTGCATACATAAAGGATCGTTCACGTTCAATGGCTTCTGGTCCAGCAAGATTGAGGAGGATGTAAGCCTTAGTCCTGGCAGCCTTGTCTGGGTGCGCTGCGGCGATGAAGATTTCATATTCCCTCTCAAAGATCCGCCAGCTCTCCGCGACGTTTCCTTCAAACATAACAGGGTCCGGACGGCAAAATCCATCCGCCATTGTAGCTGGGGCTAGCTTCAGCCAGCTAGTTAGCGTTAGCACGGTCCGTGGAAAAAAAATCCTCCAGACGAGAGGAGAGGCTTGTGCCGTCTTCTGACACCATGTATAAGTTGTCGATACTTCTTAATACATGCTTGTGTGCACAAGGAATACACAATTCATAGGCAAGTCGTGGCTTTATTTATGACCACAGCATGTACAGTGAACATGTACGTTGCATGCCGACTAACAACTGAATGCCTACTACCTTAACACATCACCGGGTGGCACATCAGCTACGGTGGCCTGCAAAGGACAAACTTAATCATATCAGAATGATCTACACACTCCATCCTCAGTTTGTCCCTCATCATCAGTGAACTTAACTGACGTCGAATGAGAGGGGTCGAATGAGGCACCTTTGAAGCCGCGGATTGCTCCATCCCACACATTGGCTCTATTAATATTGATGTATTTTTTTATTTTTGTACATGTGTGTATGTGTGCCGCAGTCAGGTATTCTGTGCTGGGAAAGACAAAGTGATGTATTGTAATATTAAAGGATGAAGCTAGTAATAAGATTTACAGTATAGAATAGAACAATTAAGTGGTAATAGTAACAATTAATAACTTTGCTCCATTTGGTCTTCTGGCTCAGACTGGCTATCAATAATGATAGGTGCATACATTTGTGTAGTTGCTGCAGTGAGAAGACAGTTGAATAATTACTTCAAATACATAATATATGCATGACAGTCACATTTACAAAAGGATGTCGATCCTCTTCCTGTTTTTTTTCAATACATTGGGTTCTAAACTGACAACAGCACTTTTGTCATACTCCTTCACAATCCTTGTAAACATTTGAAATGGATGCATTAAAAATGATCTGATCTTTGAAAAATATTTGTGGGTGTTTTTTGTATAGTCTTCACTAAGATGTCAGATGTTGTGGGTGTCATTTGGAAATGTATGAAAGTATAATTGTTCTGCTTCCTTGCAATGTTACCCACTGTGATTGAAGGCTATACAAACAAACAAATGTAAAAATAAAGATACACACCACACAACTGTGTCACGATGCAACTGTCAACCTCGTTTACCTATAGAAGTTGTTCTGACCCGGGGCTGACTGGACCTCTTCCTGGAAAGGGGTTAGTGCTCCATCCTATTTTTACCTAGGAAACAAGTGCACACAAAGGCATTTATTGATTTCATGTTCACAAATTCAAACCTACATGGTATAATTACATTTTTAATTAGTCTTACCCAATCAGACGCTGGTTGTGGGTGCCTGAGAGGTCTGATAAAGGTAAACAACAAATATATTCAAACTACTGTAGCCTACTGTTAAAACATTCTGCTTCTTGTGGCACAAAATAATATGTTGACAGTGTTTTCTTTGACCCTGGCGAACTGTTGTCCATTTGTGGAGTGCTCACTTTTGGAACATTTGGAATGTCCCACACCTGCATACACACAAATGACTGACTGAAATAAAAATAAATTCACTTTAATTAAGAATAAATGCCACGATAAATCCAAACTGACCAAGGTACATTATATTGTTTGTTGATCGTCCTTTAACTCTCACATTAGGATTTACATTGGGGCACAATAAACCAACTCCTCTCTGCACCTATAATATATCTATATGATGTCAAGAGTTACATTTAGGTGTACAGTGCTGTCTCTTGACTTGCAAGGTGTTTTACCAAACAAGCTAACGCTAGCTGGGTAAATATGACGCTCTTTGTATCAAAACAAAACTTACCTTCTTATATATCGACTTTTTCCACTTCGATCAACTTTATTTCCTCCGGCTTCAATTTGCAGCACTCTTGTTCGTTCTCTCTATGTCTGGTCAGACATCAATCTGTTCCACGTAGCGCGCCCCCTAGAGGCCTGGAGCACTTCCGGAATGTTTTTTTTTTGGTATGTGTTTTGGGATTTGTACGTGCTTTGGACTTTGCATATCGTTTTGGTATTTGCAGCGTTTTTTTGTTGCGTTTGTTTTCGGGATTTGTGTGTTGTATTTAGTTTGCATCGTTTCTGTAAATGCAGCGTTTTTCTGTTGTATTTGTTTTCAGGGTTTGTTTGTTTTTCATTTCATTATTTGCAGGTGTTTCCTGCTAATGTATGCATTTTGGGCCGTTGTTCCGCGTTTGCACCTGCCGGCCACCGTACATATCATTCTACAAAGAGGGACTTAAAAAGCACTATATCATTTAATTTGAAAGAATAAAAACAAAACAAAAATGACTTCCCATGTTTTATCGTTTTTTAAGACATTACATAATTTATAAAGACTCTTGAAAGAATGGTTTAGGAAATGTTATTACCAAATCACCTTGACATAAAAAATACTTGGCTGATTGGCATTATAAGACAAAGTTTAGACACAAAAAAGAAGAAATCTGAACTTGTGCTTCACCTTCATCCATCCCACTGAGGAGCTGCCTGAGGTCGTCAGTCTTGTAGTCGTACACGTGCTCCTTCCAGCTCTCCCCGTTCTCGCTGCGCAGCAGGATCAGCTCTCTCTCCTGGCCTCGCATCGAGCCAAAATGAGGGATCTCCACAATCACAGGCCTGGTGAGGAGCATGTCATGAAAGCAAGATGTAATTAATCGTATTCGAATGCAATGGCAGGCGATGGGTAAACCAAGAAAGTAGAGGTTAAGTTGCTAAATCAAATCTGAAATACAAATAATGGAGGATACATCATACATAGGGGGGTGATAATCACTAATGAAAGATGAAATCCATTCAGATTGTTAATTCTACAAGGGAAATATGAACAAGGAACATTAAAGAACGTTGATGTAAGAAACACACTTTACAGGTATGAATGAACTTTGCTTCTGCTGATGACAGAGGATCTTTAAAATGATAGCGGTGGCCGTGCTGCAGTTGAAGGGACACTTGCAGTGTGTGTCATACAGTGTAAGGCATGAATTGATATGAAATAGATGGAGGAGTGAGATGAGAAAGCTGCACAGCCCTTATTCAAACAAGGCACGATGGCAACACAAGAGAGAAGGGTGAACGTACTCTAGTCTGAGGACCATTTTTACCTCAGAGTAGAGAGTACAAAAGGACACACAGAGGAACTATAGTTATTGATCATTCCCTTGGCAAAGTCACAAAATTATGTTTTTTAAGTACTTTCTTCTCAATCAGCGTCTTTCTATGAGTGATAAAGTCCTACATTAACTATATTCACAATTTTCTGCCAAAGTTAAATTAATCTAGGTTGTATACAGACGGTGAAAAGGTACCTTACTTGTAAATCTGTAGTCTAGGGAAAAGGTACTCAAATATGTAACTCATATGTATCACAACAGTGTAGTAATACTCAGTTACAAGTACAAGTCATGTGTCAAGTAAAGGTACAAAAGTATTAGCATCAAATAGGCTTGCAGTATCAAAGTTAATCAATAACTTGTTTGGAAATTGTGGGAAAGTTTTAACAGACTGCTAGCACTTTTTGACTTTCTAGTTCTGTGCTGTTATCAGTTGTTCTAAAACTAGAGTTCACTTTAAAAAAAAAAAGAAAAAGGAAATAAAAAAAAGCTACAGCCTTCTGCTTTAATAATATTTGCTTTAATAAACGATCATTAAAACCTCATGTTTGGATCGCATCTTGCAGGTTCAATGCCAAGTATTTATTCATTTAAATGCATAATTTTGTGTTATTACTATATTATATAAGTCTCTGTAAATACATTACACAAACATTTTGTAGGATGACATACAACTGAACCTAAAAGGTGAAGTAAAGTAACAGCGGTCATGAGAAGCAGGATGATGCTCGGCTTGAGGAGGAAAAGGCTCATGCCCAACAAGTGCAGTCAAGTCCAAACAGCCAATCAAAACTTCTTCTTTCAGGGACGTCATAAGCCCACTGAAAGGTTCTGAAATAAAATATATACAATGGTCTCTGAATGAAAGTGGCTTGAAAATAACCGTCATGGATTTAAAGGGTAGTTTTAGGAAGAATTATAAAATATCAAATGTAAAATCTATATTTTATGTCTCACTCTAACATGTTATTAAGGCTAATACAAATCATACAAATGACTTTATATGTAATACTAGTAACTAATTGTCCTCACTTCAAAAGGTTAATTACGTCATTGATTTCTTCCCAAAAATACTTGAAACCATGTAGCAGTAATGCCGTATCCTGACAAATCAATAGAGATGGGTAAAATAATCATATCCTTCAGCATGAGTCAGCCTGGGTCATGTTGCTTCCTCGGGGGAGGTGGGAGGTACGTAAAGGAGAGGAGAAGGTGGGGGGGGGGTGCTATGTTTGGTTCCTACCCAACAAATCTAGTTCCTCTGGGTCCCAGCTGAAGCACTGGACTAACCAGGCTCTCGCCTTCACTAAGGGCTGGCAGCTTTCTGGGAAGATGTAGTTTACTGCGTCCACAAGATAATGAAAAACACGCGCACCCCAACATATACACACACTTGTAAAGTCAGTAACAGCACACACTGCAGAGTTGTATCGTTAAATTAATTCCTGTTTCTATTGTCCAGCACTCAGCAAGGACAACAGCAACAGCAAATACACAATCACAATAACAGTTTATGGTTGGAATACACACATGGTGTATCAACATCTAATATTAACAAATGTAATTACTCCTGAAGATAATACGCTCCGGTGGAAAAACTATTTAAATACTGTTTAGCCATTTTCTATTACCAAACAAGGTTGCCAAATGGTGATTGAGCAGATTCATATTGAAAGCATTTAATTGTTGAAACACAAGCAACTTTTATCATGAAGTTGTCACAGGACATGCAATGTGTTTTTCAGTGAGCTTGACGTTGGCTGCTGTTGTTCATAAAAAATTAGTGTAAAAAACAAGACAGCAAAGACGTAATGATCGGCATTTTTGACAGCTGTTAGAAATTATATTACAAATATTGCAGAAAGTAATGGAAGAATCAAGAGCAGCCACAGTGAGCGGTAAGAGGAAGAGCTATGGATGCGAGGGAGCAAACTTTCATTTTCACATATTTCTTTGTTGAAGCATCTAAAACCACATTTGCTGTTTTCACCAAATAGGGTGATGCCTGATTCACTAGGACTGTAAGTTTAGGGATTTCAACTTAAAGTAGAAAAAAAGTAATATTGCAGTGTAGAAAACCTCTGTTGCATTTGTCTATTTAATAGCATAATCTTTTTACTTTTGTCTTTATTTATTTTTCATAAAATGAGATGAACTACTCCAGCTTTAAAACGAGCTGAAATAGTAACAGATATTTGTGTCTCAAAGCTGCAATCTAATTCAGAACTATCTTTGGACATGCAGACAGTATGTTGCATTGTATTAACACTGTAATTATGTAAATGAACAGGAGTGAAAGCATGTTCATTCAGTTGAGACAAATCTATCAACTCTGTTGGCTTTGACAAACTTCCTGACATAGGGTTGTAATGTATATAAAATTAAAACATGTGCACTATTCATTTTCTTCCCATGGTCCTTAATTTTACACAGTTTACATCCGTTAGCAATGTTGCCTTTACTTTGCCAATGTCCGGACTTAATGCTTGAGGGTTATCACACTGCAACAATTACACTTTAACTGCAAATTACACAGCATGTATTCCACCTAAACATGCACATAGACTCATTCACACTTTAGAAATATAACGCAGATGGCGTGAGATGGCTATGGCAAGAAGCAGAAGGAATAAGAAGTCAAGTCCCGAAAAAAAAACAAATTAAGCAAACAACACTATTGGTGAGTTAAAAAAAGAAATGTGAGTCTCACCCGAGGAACTGAGCTCCTGCAGGACCGACTTCAACCAATCGGCTGGCCAGGCCTTCTCCTTCCACCATCGGTGGGGGCGTGGCCAGTTTGTGTCTCTTGACCAGGCGACAGGTGATTCTGGTGGGCGCCGTGCACTTCCTGGGCGGGATGATGATGCGCATGCCGTTGTGACGACTCCCTCTCATGGAGCCACCTCTGGCGTCCACCATGAAGCTGACCAGGAACCTGACGGAGGGAGAGAAAAGGAAGAAACAGGAGCAGAGGAAAAAGAGTGAGAGGAGACGGTGGAGCAGAGAGTGCAAAGTGAAAGAAAGATGGATAACAGATAGACGGAGAGTATAGAAAAGGAATGGAATAGAAAGTAATACACATCAATTAAACGTCGGCATTGATGGAGAGGGAAGAGCTTTAGTTGAGGTGAAATCCCTTCTCATGCCGTGATCTCCAAAACACACACAAAGTGTAAGTGTGAGCAAAAGAGATAAAGATAGAACAGAAGTGTTTCAGAAGAGTTTTCTGTGTTGGCTATGGCTGCCCTTGAAAAGTTGGTGGTTACAGTCAGAAAACACCAACTTTGCCAAATAGATGTAACAATATCGCTACATAAAAGTGCTTATTTTTCAGTGAATATTATTACAAGTGGATGAATTACCCATAATGCCAACACAGGAGCCTCCGGTGTGTCTTATTCATACAAGGTACAGTAGTCCTGTGTGTAACTCATTGTAGAAGGAAATACCATAAAACACACACTGCACACAGATCCACACCATGCAATTTGGTGAACAATATTTCATGTTAGTTATATGTAGGCTTTGAATAAATGATGTGAATATAAATCGTCCAGTTCAAATATATAAAAAATATTATAAAGAGGAAACATTTTTTTTAAAGTATTGTAAAAATGTACCTTAAAATGGGATAAAAAATAATTTAACCAGACATTTGAACATGAAAATGTCACATATTATACGTTGAAGAGACTCAAAGATTTCCTCCAAACAAAAGGAATACACACAAGGTCCAAAAATTCGATCTGTTACAACACAGTTCATGTGTGAGGAGAGCAAACACAGATGTTATGAGTGAACGGAGAGGGGGGGGGCGTGATGTCACCAGGAAGTAACAACAAACAAGGTGGAGGTGACAAAAGAAGGCAACCAATCACAGTCAATCACCTGCTGTCGTACTGCGGGAGCGGAGAGGAAAAACTGCAGGATGGACGACAAAGCAACGCAGGAGTGACAGGTCAACAAGAGAGGAAACACCACCGAGAAGACCACCACCAAGGAGTCCTTTAAAGAATAGCTCGACATTTTGGGAGATATGCTTATTTGCTTTCTGGCCGAGGGTTCGATGAGAAGTCGAGCCTTTCTTTTGTATATTGGTTCACAGTTATCAGCCGGTTAGCTTAGCTTACCTTAGCTTAGCACCAAGTCTGAATTGTAATTTGCTAACTATTGATAATTAGTGTGGTGTAAAATTGTGTATGCAATGTGTTCCAATTTCAAAGTACTGTATGTTGATTTGTGTACGCCAGAAATGCCTGGATGTAAAGAAGATTAGCAGGAATTTCTGAGTATGACACGTGAATTCACGGGACATATTTAGACTGTCCAATGGCGGACTGCAGGAAAGCTAGTTTAAATCATTAACCAATAAAATAATAACGAAAGATGACCAGTGAAATAAGGTGCGGTCACGAGGATAAATGCTCACATATACAAAATAATATAATTTAAAACCTTTAACAATTTACATTTCGATTTATATAATACTGAAATATATCAATTCTACGGCAGCTCGGAGAAGTATTGCTTTAAACGTTACTGTCAATAAATACGACAAATTGCTTAAGTTAAGGTAAGTGTGGAATTACATTTTCAAATGTTATTTAGTGCACATTATTTAGTAGATACTAATTAAGTTTGTATTGATGGGATTTCAAACACAACCCAAGTGTGCTTTAGAGGTGCTGGGTGGATCTTAGAAAGGATCAATGTTTTCCAGGTTTCAAGTCTTTTGTGCTAAGCTAAGCTAATTCGCTACTTTCAGTTGCCATTATTCCTTTTCAATTTACTGGACAGACCTGAAGTAAATGTTCTCATCGAACTCTACGCCAGAAAGCTAAGGGCATACTTCCGACAATGTCAAACTTTTGCTTTAAATTTCAGAACCTTAATTTCCGCATTTCTCTGAGTCAAGTGGGATCTGTTGCGGCGAGGCCAAGGATTTACCTGACCTTTAGCATCAGATGAGCACAGTTCAAATTTTAGGGTTTGGTTAAACACAGAGAAAAACTGAAGCCATCAGTTTCTAAGGTTAAATGTATTTGCAGACTGATTGAATACAGTGACTACGGAAATAAGAGAAGTGTAACTTTTGCTAACAGACAGAGAAGGGAAACTGCTGCATGTAGGGGCCATTTTCTCAAGGGAAAAGTACATGAAAAAGGGAGACAGACAGAGAATATACAGGTGGGAGGAAACACAGACAAGCACATGTCTTGTATCCTTCTTTATCCACTTTAAAACGTGCTTACCCCGAGTGTATTGGCGAGGACACTATGTTGACATTATCATGGGCGTCTGGGGTCCAACTGTATCTCCTCAGAGAGTCGTTATCGCAGTCCTTAGCCACCGCCAGATGCTGTGGAGGAGACAAGGTCATTGCAATGCATTAGTGTGTGTGTATGTGTGTCCATGTGACCGACATTGCATGTGCAGAAGAAGAAATACATAATGTACGATGAGGATGAATTTGTGCATTTAAATTGCCATGAAGTATACAAACCAAATATGAAAATGTGTTGATAAAGTCTGACTTTTAAAAGAAAAGTTGGCTTTTTTCTCGTTTCCTTAACCTTTAGTTTTATTCTCAAGAGCTAGCCGTGAGCTCTGATATAACATGATGACAAGGCATTTCCTCTCAAGCTTATTTCTAGTTTCACCTCCTCTGGGGAAGGTGGCATCAACACTAGTACCGCTTGCAAGATTTATGGCTGAGTCATAACATTATTTCTATTCTCAGGAGACGGCAGCAGCTGTCGTTATGAAATAGAACATCTGAAGATACTGTATAAGTACCCAAGCAATCAAAAACACCATCTATACATTTAGTATATTAGTGGGAAAAAAGGAAAACATTACCAGAACAATAGTCTTTTAAATAAAAAAAAATTGACTCCTTTACAGATGGTAAGAACAGAAAACCAGCACCATATGTTTAAAGTAAATGGATGCAATTGGTAAAGAAAACAGGTCTTTAAAAATAATTTTACGGCTAATTAATGCTAAAATGCATTAATAAAGACGAAATTTGCTGACTTAAAAATGTAGTGTTTTATTCCGAAAAAATAGCCATGTCATAAAACGTCAATGGACACTTATAACTGTTATGAGTGTTAACGTTTGTAATAATTATAAACACCTATATAACAAATGTTAATGAGTTGATGACAAAACATTGGAATTCCTACCATATAAGATGAACACAATATGACTCTTATTCAATCCCATTATTAATAAGGAAGGAATCCAGTAAGTAGTGTCTCTAATTATTGATCATCAACACATGGATAAAGAACATAGTAACAATGAAGAGAAAATGATGAATATACATATACATGCTTTGATGAAAAAAATAAATACACCACATATAAAACATGATCAAATGAAAAAGTGTGAATGACATATTCTCACATGCACTTAAACGTCTACCTTGTTGCGCTTCTCTACAATGAAAGACCTCTCCTTACAGAGCATCTGGAGCAGCGTGAAAGGAGACAGCTGTTATTTAGCAGCTGTTACATTCAGACATCATTAAACCATGTTTCTGTGAATTACATTACTCAGTGTAGCAACACTGTCTGTCACACCTTTAGAGGAAAATGAATCGCGTGCATACTAGAACATGGCGAGACTTCTTCTGAGAAAAGCTTTAAAGTTCTCCGCCTAATTCTTTTCATAGGGAATGTAGGATACAATATATTTGTAAATAGATTAGGAGTTTCTGGACCTGTCTTCCAAATGTTTGAAAGTGCAATACTTAAAATATGGCAACTATTGTAAAGCATTGTGGAGTTTGACATATTTGATGAAATAAATAAAGACATCTGTCACCAAAAGGGAATTATTGTTTCTGTATCATGTATCATTTTGGCAATGACATTTTCTAACAATAAGCAGCAATTTCTAATGCTGGGAACATTTCTAGTTTTTTTGTAATTTACCAGGGATCCCACTCGATTCCCTCATATCTAAGTAATAACCCAACACGACATAGCCTGAGAGACGGATCAATGTTAATAACCATTGCACTCTCTTGAGGCAGGTGGGGCATTAACAATATCTAACTGTGGGAAACGCATGCAGACAGCAGTACGTCTATTTACTAACTATTACTAACAAAACATTGAAAGACATTTTGGGTCTTGTAGACTATTAAGGCTTAGATTTTGTTGTCCTTAAATTCACAAAAGTTCAAGGTTTTCAAGGCCTCATGGAACTAACGCTACCAAAACAAGGCTTTATCCAAACCATCTTTTTTGATTCTAGAACTAATAATGCTTATAGATGGAAAACAATATAATTTATATCATGACACTAACGAAGATATTTGATAAGTCTTCAAAACAAACTCATAAGGAGGTAGAAGTTTACTGATGCCAGGCCTGGTTGGGTTGTTCTTGGCTCCTGCGATATACCCTCTAAAAAAGAAATTTCACATGAATTCCAACTTTACTTTGAAAAAGCCAATTTGTTGCACCCTGAAAGTAAGTGGTCCATGCAATCCCTCGGAGATAGCACCACTCACCACTGATCCCATTTCCTCTTTCAGTCCTATGTACAGTAACAGGATTGGCCGTTTTCATGTCAACACTACCTCAGGTGTAAAAGGATTGGTTTAACCTGGCCTTTCACAAAGCGCTTAGTCAGCATGGCACATTTAGAGACAGAACTTTTTGTCTCTTGTTGAGGTTAGTGACCTGTGGATTACTGAGCAGGAAAGAAATTGAAATTAATGCTAACATGGAGAGAAAAAAAAAAGAAACACCTAGTACGTACCATGTCCTTGCCAGGTGCCAGCATCTCCTCTATCATCATGCTGTCCCGTGTGAAGGAGCTCCGATTCAACGTGTTGGACCTATCAGAACTGAAGGAACGCAGGCTTGGTGGGGTTGCCGGTTACCAAGACAACATTCACAATGATGGAGAGGGGAGGTGCAGAGGAGGGGTTGGGAGGAAGGTGGGGTGTAAGGGGGGGGGAGAAAGTGAACAGAAAAAACAAACATAAACACATTAAATGCATGCAGCTTCCAGGAACCTGACTGTATGCCACCAGTGACAACAACAACAACCACATGAAGGAAGAACGATCTTTAGGATAGAACTTAAAAGTGTTTCCATTGCTAGAAACAAGGGAGTGGTGTACAAAGGATACTGTATGAGGCCACAACACCAATTACAAAAACTGTAGAAATCCAGATGCAAATGCAGTTGACAATGTAGATTTTCCAAATAACATTGTTACAACAATTCCTAGGGTTTACACCAACTTTATTTGAGCCTCATCAGTCTCAGAGGCTACTCACATCATGCCAGCACACAATTTGAATGCCCTAAAAGCCTGAGGGTAGCAGCTAATGAAAGCTAAGCAAACTACTATATGATGGACAATGGACACAGCATGAGGACAGTAGGCTGGCTGACAAGATGAAAAATAGGCAGATGATTAGCTGCTAATTTTGTCTTACACTTTTGTTCAAATACAGTTGTCATGGACGATGAGCAGTGTTGTTTATGAGACATTAGTGAGATGAATTAAGAGCATTCACAGGCAAGGACAAAAAAATGAATGTTTGCTTAATGTCTCTACCGCGGTTACAGCAGCTCTATTTGCTCCACATACTGTAAGTAAACCGGTGTGAACCAATTAGCCGGTGCTCAGAGGAGCTGCTCTGTAGCGCAGCAACTCATTCTGACAGGACAAATCTGTGGAAGCACAGAAAGGCCATCTGGCAATATAAATGATACATATTTAAATGATATTATCTCAAGATTGCAAGAGTCTTTTGCTATCTCAAAATATTAAAGCAACTTCCTCATAATAGAAAAGGTTATACCTTTGGAAAACAAAAGGTTGTATTGTTCAGATAACGATCCCATTACCAAGCGATCACAAATTATTTTCACATTTAATTTGATGATCTCTAAGGTATTAATTTCTCGATAAAAATGTTTTTTTATTTTGAAAGACTTAACATTTAATAATAGATGAAAGCTCCACCCATGGCGCAATAACACTTTGTCTAAGGAATACATGCAATACTATGATATTTGTATACAACAAAATAATTATATTATATATAATAAAATAGATGTTATCTATCTACTAGATACAAAATTCAGGTTTGTATTGTTAAGAAAATATTGAAATAGTGGCACCAAGATAATTGATGATGCTGTACTTTGTAAAAACTGATATTGTTGGCAAAAAAATCATCCTATATTTTCAATGACTTTTTGTAGTTTCTTTTCAAGCTAGATATATCATTATTATTAAAAAAAATATTGTGTAAATGAAATTCATAATAAATTAATAAATTAAATATACATTTCCATACAAAAGAAAGAAACAAAACATATATTGCTCAAGAAAAAATGTGCTCGACCACAGACAGTAAGATTATTCTTTACTGTTCCTTACTGTACATGACACTAAACTGATGTAGGCAATAGCTATTGCCGACAGATATATCAGTTCAGGCCCCTGGAAGCGTGATGAGGGAAAACTCCGCACATAAACCAAAATAATGCAAAGCTCCACCTTTGTGGCTAACGCATAAAGACCCAGGCGGTTATGAAACAGTCACCACAGTCCAACACAAAAGCACACTCATGGAGCTGCTCCCTCACAGGCAGGGAACACAGCACAACTGTTTTCAAATGAAGGCATACATAAAATATCACACAAGTGGACCACAGTACGCAACACAGGGCCTGATGTCAACATACAAAAGTGTTAAAACTAAAATAATCTGGCAAAAATCATCGAGTTAGTAGTCAAACATTCACAGTAAAGATTTATTTCAGTTGACCACTGGAGTCTGGGGAGGGGAAGGGGTGAAATGTGGGAAGGGGTTAGGTATTGGGGGGAGGGGGGGGGCTCTTCATGCCTTCAGCCTTACCTGACTTTGGGGCTAACATTAAGAACGGACATGAGGAGAGAGTAAAAGATCATGAACAAACAGAGAAGTGGAGAGATGCAGAGAGGAGAAGGCCAGGTTGGTAGAATCATGCCAAATGCTGACTGACTGACTGACTGACTGCCTGTCTTACTACCTGACTGACTGACTGTCTCACTGACTGTCTGTCTCACTGACTGACTGACTGTCTCACTGACTGTCTGTCTCACTGACTGACTGACTGACTGACTGTCTGTCTGTCTGTCTCACTGACTGACTGACTGTCTGTCTGTCTGTCTGTCTCACTACCTGACTGAATGACTGTCTCACTGACTGACTGTCTGTCTCACTACCTGACTGACTGTCTCACTACCTGACTGACTGTCTGACTGTCTGTCTCACTACCTGACTGACTGTCTCAATACCTGACTGACTGTCTTACTGTCTGTCTCACTGACTGACTGTCTCACTACCTGACTGACTGACTGTCTCACTGACTGACTGTCTCACTACCTGACTGACTGACTGACTGATTGTCTGACTGAGTGCCCATTAACCTGCCTGGTATCCACACCGATCACTGTCGGACTACAACTTTGAGCACACATACCATTTATGACAAATTATTATATGAACTCCCAATATTCTGGTGAACATCAGTGCTTCTTCATCTTAACCCCCGACATGTCATCCTGCTTCAAATCCAAACTTGTAAAATACATTGAATACAGCCTGGTCAGTGGCCTGTAATCATGATGTCATGGGATATTTTTGGCAAGAAACTTAAATATCTATAGTTGATGTTTGCAATATAAATTGGTATTAGAGAGGGGATGTTTGACCTGTTTACCTTTATAACATTAACCTGCAAACGGTTATAAAGGAGTGTAGGTTGAAGTACATGGGATGTACTGTTTTGTTTGAGCTTTTTAATAAGCTATCAAATTGGGTATGGAAAGACCTGGAATTACTGGCATTGGGTTTAACTATAATTTCTGTCATTGTAAAATCCTGAACTTGCCAATATTAGTTAACAAACTTTAAACAACCTAGGTCACATACACAACGTACCTAACTGACTTATGTTACTTAAGTTAACTAAACAACCTATTTATTTAAAGACAAACTATGACTTAAAGCTAATCCAGTAAGTATTTTAATTAACATTGTTCACCAAGTGTTGAAGTCTATTGGACATTGGCTTAAAAAAAGCCTTCAGTCGGTGGATAAGACTCAAAATAAAACTTTAAAATGGTGCGACAAAAGACATCTGGACCATGCAGTTACTTCCACACTTTATTGGGTGTTCCTGTTTTGCTTTAGGTGATGTCAGAAAGGATAATGCATCAAAAATGTTTCATGGCTTTCACTGACAAAACTGTGGCCAACTAAAAACATACTTGATGTTTTTCTTTCAGCTAAGAGGGATTTTATAGATAATTCACTTCCTAAATCGACTGAACACAAAGACATTTGAACTAATTTCTACAGCGGACCAGCAATAAAGTTAAACTTATTCACACACACACACACACGCATCCCAACCCACTTAGATAGTGTGTGTTATTGTAACCTGGGGCTAAGTGCCATGAAATCGAACATGTTTCTCATTTCCTGTGGCTCAGTGTCCGTGTGTGTGTCACTGTTCAGATATTCAATAACCCCTCCCTCTTCAGCGGGGTTGCACAAACGTCAATAGTTTTGTGTGAGCGAGAAAGTTCAACAGCCACAGAAAGCGAACTGTATAACCTCCCACTGGTGAGAGGAAAGTCTGTGTGCCGGGGGTCAGAATAATGTAAAGCCTTACTTCTTCTGTACAATACGAGAAGAAAAAAGGAGCTCCTACAATACCACTTAGAAACCACGTCTAAGCTGAGTGTATCTATCAAATGCATTGCTATACCTTGGTACACTGTAGTAACTATAAACTAAATGGTGAAAATATCTAGCATATCACTACAATAAATAAAAAGACAATTTCTATTAACCCAGACACTTCCTGTTAGAGTAGCAGCTAACAATAGTTCCCCTTCATTTTGGATTATCTGGCTCTTTGATTCCTACCATTGTCAAAATACTTTGCTAAAGGGTACTGCAGGAATAAGTCCTAGAACATGGAGATGAGTCAACATGTTTGCACTTTGGGTTCCCTCGTATTGAAGTTTTTGATGACTGAAACAAGTTTTGTTGTTAATCCAATCTCAATACGTAATTTTTCAAGTCAGTACCGGTAAATACCCTACTCATGAGCGTTGAAGTTTTAAAGCTTGCAAACTAGAGGCTGAATGAGAATACGGTTGTTATCTAGGAAAGTAAATGTCATCCCGCCAAAAACAAATCCACCTTTAGCTAAGTGATGGTGACGCTGAGGACATGTAACTAGGTGAAGTTAGTTTATAGTCTAGCCTTAGCCATTTGCTTCTTCAGATAGCAGAATCTGAAAAGTGTTGTTTATAGGTCTGGTGATTTTCTTGCTGGACACAACTTGTACATATCATTAACCTTTGTTTGCCACAGAAATTATTCTCTTCAATAATCCAAACCAAATGGGAATGAAAGGAAACCGATTGTTTTTTTTGTGAAGGGAACCAGGGCGATGCTAACTTCCCGGTTGGTTAACAGAAATAGGTCATCACTAATGCACTCTAAAAAAGGTCAAATGTTCAAAGTGCCAGAGTTCAACGAATGTCAACCCTGCAAGCTATATTAAATAAGCTTTGTTATGAAAATGTTGTGACCGGGCCTATACACATCAGAAACATCAATAAACATGTCATTTGTTATTGTACGTCATAGCAACTGATATACGTGTACATTAGCAAACATAGACATAGTCACAATATAGTTTATTAACTGTGGGAAAGGTCATAGTGGGTCTTACCTCTGCGAACGCGCTCCAACGCTGAAGCCCATGTAGCCCTCCTGTGGGAGCGAGTCGTCCCCCAGCTCCCGCAGGTCCTGGGGGGCAAGATATTTGTCTGTGTCCCCCGTCATTGCATCATCACCTGCAGGTTGAAAACACACAGGGCCGAAGAAAAGTTACAGAAAATAAGCGTAATTGATTCTCTGGCTTTTTAGCAGCTATAATCTTCTTGTGAGGGACCAACACTTTGCCATTTCAAAACAAAAATCAATAACTGTTTCATTAGACCTATCAACATTTAGCTGTGGCAGCCTAGCACTGGCTAGAGTGGGAAATTATGTGAGTGCAAATGGAACTTATTGGCTACTCTCTATGTTTTTTGTTTTTACCGTCCACACACAGACCATTACAGAGTAGCTCTTTTAAAACAGACAGATCAATGCAGCCTCTGCCCCGGAGGCCGTTTTCCAGTTAAGCTGCGGTCCAACTAACACACAAAACAAAAGTCTGTGCTGTCACTAAAGGCTTTTTGTCTCAGTCCCCAGATGACAAACAAATGTTAACAGTAAAGCTTGCAAACAATAAATCGTGCTGCAGTCAGTAACTTTTCCTCTCAGGTTATTCTAGTGAGTTAACTAGGGCTGCAACTAATGACAATTTTCAATGTCAATTAATCTGCCGGTTATTATATGAATTAATCATTTGGTTTATAAAATGCCAGAAAAAGGTCCATCCTAGTTTCAAAAGGTCTGTGGTGATGTCTTTAAAAGTCTAGTGTTGTCAGTCCAAAACCAAAATATAGTCACTTTATTACCATTTAAAAAAGCGAAAAGCATGAAATCTGCCTATTTGAGTGAAAAAACCCAGTATATCTGACATCAATCCAAGAAAAATATGTGATTGATTAAGCAATTATCAAAATAGTTGGTGATTATTTTTGCTTTCCATCAATTACTTTGCAAGTCAATGAACCATTCAGCTCTAGCATAACAATAAAAGCAATAAAAGCAGGTTCACATCTCTATGTCTGAGTAAAGTGACTAACCACACATTTATGTAATGAATGTTCCTCTTAATACAAATACCCACAACAGAAGTCCATGTCATCACAGCAAACAAAATCACTCAAGCCATAAAAGAAAGCTGTTAAAACATACGTTAGAGCAGGGAAACAGAGAGCAGCATGGTATTCCTCTCAGAGTTACTGTAGTACTGATGAACCGCACAGTAGAAACAGAGAAGGCAGCAGAGGAGGAGTTAAAAAGTGGGAGAGGGGCACAAGTGCATACAGGCGGAGGGACGAAAAGAGAAAGAAAAGGAAGGCATTCCAACAAACCACAAAGCTCCGGAGACCCCCGCCTCACCCTCCTGTCCCTTCATCCCCTGCTGCTACAGCACCCCTCCCCCCTCCCTGCACTTTCTCCATAACAGACCCCAACTGGCTACATTCCAGCCCATTCTCATATCAGCCGAAAACTCACCTCCTGCTTTGAAGCAATTCATTCAGCCAGGAGTCCAGTTTGCAGGATTTACACCCTGAACTAACTTTTTTCACGGACTACCTTTAACTTTCAGTCGCTCTATCTCCTGCACACACTCACACACACACACACTATCTGTCTCTCTCTCTCACAGCCCAGCGCTCACACAAACAGATCGGCTTTCTCCCGCCTACCCACCCTGCTCTAGGATTATCCAGTGTGTGTAAATGTGTGTGTGTGTGTGTGTGTGTGTGTGTGTGTGTGTGTGTGTGTGTGTGTGTGTGTGTGTGTGTGTGTGTGTGTGTGTGTGTGTGTGTGTGTGTGTGTGTGTGTGGAGGGGGACAGACACCTAGAGCTCACTGCAGGACAGAAATAGTAAGTGGGTGTGTGACTTTCTACCTATGCAGTACAGTATACATGCTCTCCTGTTTTTTATTTTTTGCTTTGTTTTCTTTATCTTGTTTGTCACTTCCTTGCTCTACCTGTCTGTCTGCTTGGTTATCTTTCTATCGGCTAACTAGTACAAATACTTTGCCTTCTATGCTCCCATGTACAGTATATCTTCATCCTGACTGATCTCTGCATCTTTCTACCTGCTGCTGCTGCTTCTGTGTGCCAACTACCACGTCTAATAGCTTGTGTTTTTCTGTCACCTCAGGAGGAAGCAGTGATTGCAGGAACTCAGACAGTAACTCTGCTTGGATTTTGCATCAGGGGTTGACCTAACTGCTTGACTGTTTTTTCTAAATGGTCAAATAATAAAATTCAGAGAATCAACTGAAAACAGACTGCTGTTACGACCAATATTTTTAAACCAACCAATCTGAAGGTAGCATTACAACGATGCAGAATACACTGAACTTTGCACCCATAGACATATACAGTGCATATAGGTCTATAAGTATGTATACATTGGTTTATGAAGATGGATTAAGCCAGTTGTTGATGTGTCTATACTTGCATATATAAGCTTTGTAGGGCTACGCTTCACTAGACATACAGTATGTACATAATATAAACATATCCCTTACAATTCTTTTTTATTTAATTCTTGATTTTCATGTATATATTCTTTCTAATTTTGAGTTTAAAAAGTCACTACACTAATTTGCTGCCTGGCCTCAAAAATCATATCAAGTCTCAAGTTGTTTTATGGAAATTGAGAGTCTGTTTATGTCCAAAAATGAGTTAAAGGTTGTTGTTTTTTTACAAGGATTATAACACAACTAAGATTTAATTAGTTATATCAAATTGAAACTTTAATATTTCAGCCTTTCAAGCACTATTTTTTTTATTAAGTCTGACTCGAGTCCAATTCTATTGATATCAAATGTTCTTAGTTACAGTCTATTAATCAGTTGCCATTTGACAAATGAGTAGGTTTCTTTCTTACTAACAATCTTTCTTCTATTTTTCTTCTAATTGCAAGTGTTATATTTAGCATATGAAATGTCAAAGATGAAAACATCTGACCAATTTTGGATCTTAACCTGAAAGCAACCCTGGAAACATATCATTACACAAACGATCAATTATTGGAATAAGTAAAAACCTTGGCATCAAATATAAACCAACATGTGGCAAATCTGTTATTGCCTTAAAAATAGTTAAGAATCATATGATTCAGATTTCCACTACATATAAATTAACTTTAAAGTTTTGGGGAAAAAACTCATTTGAAAGCAGTTCTTAAAGACTGCAGAGTGTGTGTGTGGGCTGTCCTGATTTAGAACTGTGTGTGTGTTATTGGAGATGTTAATCATTGCTGTTACTCAGCTGGTATGTGAGCTTGGGAAAGTACGTGTGTTGGGCTGTATGTGTGTGTGTTTGTGTGCCTAGAGTTACACTTCATAGATATTTTTAGATCAGAAATGAAAGATGGCTGCTCTGCTTAAGCAACTCAACAGACAACAACTCGCACAAAGAATTTGGTTTCAGGGTAAAACGTGCATATTACATACATATGAAAATAAGTTCAGCTGCACCACTTCAAACTGGTTATTTGAGTTAGTTATAGCAACACCACTCTCTTTTTGACTTACAGGAATAGCTGACGCAGATATTTCCAACATCCATCTCTGTTCAAATAAAGCAAAAATAAACCTTGAACCATATTTGTTTGAATTATTTTAGAAATATCTTTACACTTTTTTAATTCATGCATGCAGGAAAATTAGTGACGGAGATATTACGCTGCATTAAAATGCTTATCCAATGAAGTTACAGAATGCCTGTTTATATTTCCCTTTTCCTTCTGTTCCTCGTCTTTCTTTACTCGTCCAATTCATCACACTTTTATCTCTTTTCTTTTGGTTTTCTGCTTTCTACTCATCTACTCCAAGTGTGGTTTACTAGAAAAACACACTAAATATTCAGGGAAATAGCGATAAATCATGGGACAGGCCTACACTTTATGAGATCATGCAAAGAACAGTCTATATAACGATCTATGTTACATATAACTGCAAAATATATTGTAAATGAGATCTGAAGAAGTTGCCTCGAAGCCCTGAAATGTGATTTCTGCAGGCTGTTGACATTTAGACGCCATAAAAACTGACATGTGCAGACGGCATGAAACATGTGACCACGTAAGGTGACTGAAAGCCTACCATTCTTTACCATCAATGCTTTAGCAAAAACACCCGAGGGCAACATTGAAACCAGCTATTGATTGAAAATCTCACTATATCAAATTATAGGTTTTTTTCTTCTCCCCCAATCCCATTAGGGAAAGTCAGTGAAAAGTTCAAGTTCAGCCGCTTTTCAGCCACACTAGACACCAAGAGAAGAGACACACACACACACACACACACACACACACACACACACACACACACACACACACACACACACCACACACACAGCTGACACCGTGTTTGCTTTGGTCTAAATGTGTGAAACTACAATGGAAGCGTCGCTGACAAGCCCTCCGAAGACAAAGGATCGAGTGTGTGTGTGTGCCGTCTACTCCACGGCATGAAAAGAAATCTGTCACACACTCCAAAACGCCATATGCAGACAGTTGGTATGACAACGGGGAGAAAATAGCATATTCCCTGCATTTCGACGCATTAAAACACTGAAGGGTTTAACAACAAAATAGCATCAGAGAGTGGAAGAGGGAAGCAGCAGCTCAATACAGTCGTGTGTAGTGCACATGCACATTTCCCTTGATTTAAATAAATAACATGAAAAAGCTCAATTATATCATGGTATTTGACTAGCTTCAATTGAATAAAGCACATGTAAATCTTGACACAAAAAAGAGCAACCAAAGATTGGAAAGAACCAAGGACTGACAAGCAAAATTAGGTATGAAGGAAGTAAAGATTAAAAGAACAAAAAAATGAAGAAAGATGAATAATACCTTCTTCCACATCAGATATATAGTCCTCTGTGATCATTTCGGGGACATTGGCTTTACAGACTGTGTGATTGGGATGGAGGAGAGGGTTAGAGGAATAAGGGAACCAAAATATATGGAAAAATTATAACAAAAATAAAGGCAAAGAAAGAATAGAAAACAAAACAAAGTTCATGTCCAGTGGCTGGTTAAATAAATGCTTAAATCATAATTGTTGCTAGAATGTCAAATAAAATAAAATATGTTAACGATGGAAAAAATAAAACGTATTTCTATTGAATAACTCCACAACAACAACAAAATGTTTCCATAACAACAGTAGGGAAACCAGTACCGGGACTAAAAGCCCAAAAGCCAAATATGACTCGATGTGAGATTTTAAAGACGTAGGCAGTCTCTCCCTGATTTTTCGACTAAAATCAGGTTGTACAGAGAAAAACTGTTTAGATGCATTTAAAGTAAAACAGATTCAGACATCAAAAAGGCATAGAAATGAATCCTTACCATCGTCATCGGACATGTCCAGCACCTCGTTCATGGTCTCTGGAACGTTCATCTTGTGCTTCTCTGTAACAGTCTGTCGAACAGAGGCCCAACCACCAAAACAGTCAATTATTACAGAAAAGCCTTAAATGAATGTCATTACTCATATGTACATGTACTGTATGGTGTAGAGGTTCAATTAACACAATATGGTGTAAATTCATACAATAATTTAAAGCAGTAGCTTTAATGCAACATTATGTCTTTTGTATATTAAACACAAAGGAGCATCACAAATTCTAAAAAGTGTACAAGTTTTTCTTTATAACAGTGCTTTCATTCATTAGTTTCAATTGCATCACCTTTGCCCTTATTTTTAATGGATTTGAAGTTACCATAATAATGTAATTAACACTTCCTGCAGATGTTTCACACTAAAAACCGACCATGGAAGAAAGTTACCATTTGAGCCAATGGTATGCTTTAAATATCAAACACTATTGCAGGAAATCATGAGTGTCAATGACGCGAGTTTGAAAAACCCGACAAAATTGACCTGGAAATTAGTTAGTGTGTATTTTCCACAGAAAAAAGATTATGTAACAGCAAAGCAATAGCAAATTAAAAAGAATAACTTTATAACTATATAAAGAATACATCTCAAATATAATATCGTTTTGATAACGGCCTTATATGAGAGTTCACTCTGTTAAAGGGGCCCTATTATAAGTTTGACATTTGTATGTAGTGTCTCTACTGTGACCTGTTTACATGCTTTAATGTTCAAAAAGCTCTTTATTTTTCTCATACTGCCTGTGCTGCAGCACCTCTTTTCACCCTCTGTATGAAACCAGAGCCCAGTCTGCTCTGATTGGTTAGCTGGCTGGCTCTGTTGTGATTGGTCAACCTCTTAGAGATGTCTCGCCCCTTAGCCAATCTAGTACAATATGTTGGAGCGCTAGCCAATAAAAGTGCGAGTGATGTCACTATGTAGAAGTAAACAAAGGAGTCCCATGGAGGCGTTTCAGGGAAGGAGGGAGTGTGTGGAGAGAAACTCCCTCTTTTCAGACTGTTTGTATGCACAAAAACCTATATAACACACTTATATAACCAAACTATACATTGCAGTTACTGTTAAAACACATACACACCTGCGTGGTGAGAGTTTCCTCTGTGACTACTTTGAGCGTGTCAACGACAGAGATGTAGCCGAGCCTCCTTGCAATGGACAGAGCGCTGTTCCCATTCTGGACATCAAAAAAGGAAAAAGGAAAATTGGTGACTTATTGATTTTGAGCGGTAATAGAAAAACCAAACTATTCAGTACTTGTGTACAATAAACCCTTAAACATCATAAGGGTTTTACATTGTACTCAATGTGTGGAGATGAGTATTTTGTTCTTCAGTTAGTATTTGGATACAGTGCAGATCTACAAAGTCAAGATATTTGTAATGTTTTGTATAATATTTGTCTGAGTCAATGTGAACTAACAGCTGTGAGTTCGTTGGGCGATGCTCCGTGATGAAGCAGCAGGTTGATGATGTGTGTGTGTCCCTGCTGTGAAGCCTGATGGAGAGGTGTGTAACCGTTCTGCAAAGGAGAGAAAACAGACACAGTTAGAGTAAAAGAACACTGACACTGCCAACAAAATACCCTTTTAAATGTACCGTAATTTTCGGACTATAAGCCGCGACTTTTTCCCCATTTTTCGACGCTGTGGCTTATATAACGGTGCGGCTAATCTATTGATTTTTACAGCTAACGGTCACCACCTTTAACTCTATGGGCTCTATGGCCGGTCCGCGGACCCCGACCTTTAAGCGGCGGGTTCCAGCAGGAAAAGCTGGAGGCCGGAAAAGAGTGAGACAGGTAGCGCGCAAAAGTGGAAAAGTGGAACCGAGAGTGGTATGCCGCTGCTGCGGCTTGTATTCAGGTGCGCCTTATAGTCCGAAAATTACGGTACTCTACACCCACTGACATACACTATCAGTGACACACATCGAATATTTCTGAAAATGTGTTAAGATCTCTAATGCACAAAGAAATAAAAGAAAGATGTGCACTGAATGTTTACCTTGGTCTTAGCGTTGACCTTCGCCTGATTTTTCAGCAGGAAGTTGACCATCTTCACGTTGCCATAGTGACAGGCCACATGGAGCGGAGTGTATCCCAGCTGATGACGGAGAAAATCATTTGGGGATTAGCAAAGAAAGCAACACAAATCATTGGTGTTGTAATTGTCCCTTGTTGCTCTGCTTGAAATGTGTTTCATTAAACTTTATGAAATGGATAACTTTGATCCCTGCAGGGCCTTGGAGAAATGTCATATCAAAACTGAAGTGTTTTCCAATTGACAAGGGTCTGTCAAAATATCCACAGTCCAAAACCAAAATAAATTCAATTTACAGTGACTAGCATCTAATCCTCACATTAGAGAAGCAGTGAATATTTAGTTATTTTCTTGACTAAAGTGTTAAACCATGAAGACAACAAGACACTCGTACCTTAGTCTCAGGGTCTAGAGTAGCTCCCTGGTTGACTAACACCTCAGCGACGTTGACTTTATCCTCCTGGGCAGCCAGGTGGAGTGGGGTCAGACCGGACTGAGGATAGAGGGATAAATATGAATCAAATATAGGGATAGCGCAAATAAACAGAGCTCAATATGCAGACAGAGGGAGACGGAGAGATTGAAAAATGGATACAGACTTTTAGAGTCAGGCTCTGGCCATTTAAACACAAGGAAACAGTCCACCTAATCAGATGAATGTTTTTGTACTCAGTTCTCGTACCTTATTGCCCATGTTGATCGGAGCGTCTCGGGCCAGCAGCAGCGTCACTATGTCCACGTTGCCTTCCTGTGAAGCGAGGTGCAGAGGAGTGATGCCCTGGCGGGTCACTGTGTTGGTGGAGGCACCGTACTCCAGCAAGGTGGTGGTAATCTCCATCTGATTCTTCTTAGCGGCAATGTGGAGTGGTGTGTAACCATTCTGGGTACAGAGAAGAGAGCTATTTTCTTTGTTTCTTACACTGCCATCATTCACTTACATATAGCTCACATCTAATACAAATTAATTTAGATATAATACAAAATATTTGATGCTGATTATACAATGTAATATATATATATAATATATGACTCATATTTGTTCATTAAATATCAACCAAAGGACCTATTTAGCTTAGTTTTAGCACAAGAAACACCCAGCATGGCTCTGTTCAAAGTTTACAGATTACATCTACCAGTGCCACTAAAGCTAACTAAAATAAACAATATTTTTTTCTTCTTATCTGTGCAAAAACATTAAGATTTGGTTTTAAAGAGAATTATGTGACAAGCTATATTTTTGTGGGGGAGCGGTAACCTTCTGAATCAAACTTAAATTGATAGAAAGTCAAATAAGTTACTGCGCTAGTTTTCGGTCTTAATGCTAAGCTAAGCTACGCTAACATGCTGCTTACCGTAGCTTCATATCTAGCATACTGACATGACAGTGTGGTTGATTCTGTCAAAGTTTTTTGTTTTACAACTCTAAATATGTTTTTTTCTCAACTCAGCTAATTAAACATCAAATTCATGATATAGCCATATATTGCAAATTAATTATATTTATGTCTACATTTTGCAGCTGTTATACTTTAACTGATAGAGACGGCTTTATCCTCTTAGACTATTTATTAGTGGTGTATAACGATATTTTAAGCACATATAATTACAGCCTATATGTCCACGACCTAAAGTAAAGTATAAATAGTGTCTAACAGGGCCGTTTCTTCCTATAGGCAGACTATGCAGATGCATAAGGCCCCCGCGGCCACTTGGGGGCTCCCAAGCTAAAAGTAATTTTTATTTTTCATCCAAAAAATAAATAAATAAATTCCTACACACAAATATGAACAAAATTAGTAGAAGCGGGAGAGCTGAAGCAGAGCTTATGGAAAGTAGCCCTCCCGTGCATCATCCTAATACAACATCGGCATTATTGCGTCAAAAACGTATAGAAATGAAGGAGTACAAAGAAATAAAGAAAACAGGAGAACAAATTAAATAAAAGTTAGGGCAGGAAAACAATAAATGCATATATATACGAAAACTAGATATAGGGTAATTTTCTGCACATGTCAATAGCAGTTTCAACTATCTTTTTTTGGAAATGAAAATACTATATATAAATATCATTATGTACACATGTACTTGGCAAATGAATAATAATATATGCATATGCATATAATAATATATGCATAATTGCATATAAACATTGTGAACACTTATTTTCAAGTGACTTTTTTTACATTCATATGTTCACGCTGTGGTTTGGAACTGCTTTTGAATGTTATTAGGCATTTTGTTATGGAAAATGTTGTGCATAACCAGTACTGTTTTAAGCTGTACTATGTCCCTCCCCCGAACGGACAGATGTTTTATTTCTGCCGCTAGTTAAATTTTGATATAGTTGTATTCTTCTATCATTATAACTTCCCGACTTGGCACATTGAGCAACATAAAGATGACATCGGGTCACCGGTATTTTCTCTCAATTAAGGCATCGCAGCGCAAACTCCATATCGAACAACTAACATCTCTATATCTTCCACAGCTATGGACAGATCACATTGACCAAACGTCAATTATTAAAATTATGTGACGATCTTCAACCATGGGTATACTTGATCTTTATCAGTTTAAGCTTTTCCATACAAGGATTATAGAGATATATTGTACACATCACTATCTAGGGTTCACACATCAATATTAATGACTAATATCACTCCATATCACCGATATGGCTCTATCTTTTTCAAACCCACGTACATGTAAAAATCCTGCCGACAACAAACTGCCTTTTTGTGTTAACCTTCGTGGGTTACTATTTAATACGTGTCTCGATTATGTGGCCCAAGACAAAAATACGTCATTACTATCCTGTCAATTAACATCTTTTTTATGAGGAAATTTTTTCACAATAAAGGGGGAAGAAAGAGAATGGACTAGGACTCGTTATCACCCCTTTCGTGCCATGAGAGCCCAGTTTATATAGTACACATCGTGAAGGTCCTTACACCGACCAAACAGCCGACACACCACCTCACAACTATGTTTCTTATCCTATTGTAGGGTTTTTGCTCATAAATGCCCGTTACATCAGACACCACAACCGCTAATCTTATACTTGTGTGTGAAGGGTATAAATTTTTTTGGAGTTAGATAA